ACAAATCGCCGCTCCTAGCCGGATTCCTACGGCAATGCGCAAGCTTTCCCCAGCAAGTAATGTGCCGAGATTACTTGATGGTAAAGCGTGTAACCAGTGACTAGATTCCTTAGTCGAAACAGCTAGAAGGCGTGCCTTATCTTGGTCACTATGGAAATTATGAAACAAATCTTTCTGCACGCCCGTACCAACGGAATATCCCACTGTTTTTGTTGGTGAACTTCCAGTGGAACATTTTCACCGGGACAGAGCGTTTGCCATAACAATTGTTTTATTTTTAGCAATTATTTTTAAAATAACTGAGCATATTATTAGAATTTCTTGATTTATATCATCATATGACCACGAAGACTGTCTAGACTATGAATAAACTAATAGACTATTATAATTTGTACGAGTTTTCCGTTTTTACCAGTCGATTGGTAGACAAGACAGTTCTATCCTTAAATCCTGAACACAGTTTTCAATCTACAGATATCCTAGTTTTTAGAATTGAATAGAATATAATCATTTTCATTCAATATAGATTACTAGAATACTCATTGAAAGTCATTTATGTTTTACCACTGGTTCGGAAAAAACCTCTGTCCTGGGAAGAAACCAAGCGGGACTTCTTTTTAAATAAAACTAATTTACAATAAAACTACTTATTTTGAACAATTAGTATGAAAATATTTACAAACAGCATGGTAACGATCACCTCATTCCCAAGGGTTATTATAAAGCATGCTCCAAGTTCAAAAACTTTAATAAACAAAGTCTGTATAAAAAGGGTTATTATAATATTAAGGAATTTATGGATGATAATAACTCCTGATCGCTACCAAGTAATTGCTAATTTGTTTTTAATGGTTAATTGTGTAACATACGTGATTGATTGTAAGCTGTTATTTAAAAAAAAAGTTCCGCTGGGTCTCTTGCTGGTTCTTTCCAGGACTGAGATTTTTTTTCGAACCAGTGGTAGTAATTAAACAAAGGAGTGACTTTCAAGAAGTATTATTTATAATGTATCTCACAGAAAACCAGCGTAAAATAGCAGCTTAACGCTGCTGTGTTTCGTATGGTGAGTGTAGAGAATCGGAGACCCTTTTTACTGGCAAAGAGGCGGAAGAGATGGAAATCTTAGTCCTCACGGGTGACAGCGCATCTGCATCTTGAGTTTTTATTGAGGATAGATGTAGATGTCTATGGGTCACAGCAACCACTTACCATCAGGTGGACTGTGTGCTCGTTTGTCACCCGATCCTATAAAAAAAATATTGAATAAAAAAGTTTCTGTTTCTGTTTCATGTAGGGGAGAGTCGGATAATACCGCGCGTCTGATAATTCCGCGCATCAACATAATGCAAAAACTAAATGCTTGTAGCGCTGTCCAGCGTTTAAAAATCATAGCCCGAAGTGCCTACTGCCTACTCCTCCTCTCGCACACCACCAGTTTGCTCCGAGCAACGACGTAGTTACACAGCGTCGTGATAGTTTATACTTGCATTCCTTATAATTTCGCGGATACTTTTGATAAGAGGTAAGTTATTCTGTATTTATATTGTAACACATTTTTTCCTTATATTCTAATGCTTATATATTGTAGAATTAATGCCCAAATGGATTTGAATACATAATTAACTTTACTGTAATATTTTGAGGTTATAAAATGAAATGATCGAGTTTGTCAATTCCGCGCCGCGGTATTATCGAACGAGGCGCAAAATTGTAAACTATGAAAATTATAGATTATATGTTTTTTTTTTGTTTTAGATGGATAAATCTGTACAGAAAAAAAAAGAAATGGAATCCAGAAAATATAAGGACTGCTTTAGGGGCTATACGGAACGGTAGCAAAATAAAGACAGCTGCTAAAAACTTTGATGTCCCGGAATCCACAATTAGGAATCGATTAAGATTGGGAGAAGATTATAACCCACCTATGGGCAGAAATGTAAATGAATACTGAAAAAGGCAAGAATTTTAAAGAGAAAAACAAACTAAAGGAAAGTCTGTTAAAAGTAAAAGTTTTGAACAGCAGCGAAAATGGTGAGGATGAAAACTATCTGAAAAACAAAAAGACAAAGCTCGCATAAGGAAAAAAGAGACAGAGTCAGAGAGTCAAAGAAATGTATTAGCAGAAGTGAAGATAGTGAGGATGATATTCCCATCGCTCAATTGTGCGATGACGATGATGTGGAGAATCGTGATATTTGCGCCTTATGTCAAGAATTGTGATAGGGAAATTTGGTTCCGCTGTTGCAGATGCTCGAATTGGATACACAAGCAATGTAGCGGAAAAGACTCTCCCGAAAATTTCTTATGTGATTTTTGCATTGATTAATGCAACTTTAATTCTGCTAATAAGGCTGATTGTAGGTATTACTGAGACTAACTAGTTGTAATTTCATTCAAAGATTTACTAATTTTAATACCTAGTCATTGAAAAAAATATAGAAGTACATAAGTTTTGTCGACTTAAATAATCTAATTTTCTGTTATTATTTCGTTACATTTTGTATAGTTGATTTATATTGTTCTAAAGTAATATCTTAATAAAAATAAATTAATATCTTAATTTTTTTTAAGGTTACTCATAGAAATTAACGATATTATTATGGGCCCGGTTTTATCAAAACTTGGCACGGTATTATCTAAACCGTCTGATAATACCACGCTTTGCCGTTTCTTTTCAAAAATCGCAATAATTACTTTCTGTTTATCTTTTAAATTATTGTGCCATGCTAAATGTGTAGCTAAATAAATTATCTACTACTTAAACGCTTTTTTGAATCTTTTTATCAAACCCTGTCCGAATTATAGGTCTAAGTTCTTAGGGACACGGTATTATCCAACTCTCCCCTACTCTTTGGTAGTCTAATAACCCTTACTAAACAGTTTTTGCATAATAAACATTTTAAACTTTTTGATAGATAAGGCCTGCATATTTTCTGGGACTTGGTTGTAAAAGCGCATACATTGCCACATGAAGGAATTACTGACTCTTTGGAGTCGAGTAACCGGTATAACTAACTTATGCTTCTTGCTAGTATTTACAGAACACTATTTTTAATAAAATTATTTTTGTTTTTGTGTACATACATTAGATTTCGTAGATGTACTGAGAGACCAAATTTAATATATATTTTTTGAATTTTTCTCTAAGGGATTCCTTCAAACCTAAGTTATATATTGCTCTTATAGCTCTCTACTACAAAATAAAGATAGTTTTAATATCAGTCGCGTTACCCCATAGTAAGATTCCATATGATATTATGCTATAGCTAAAATAATCTAATCTAGCTGTTTCAATACATGTAAGGACTCTAATCTTCTTCACAGGAGATGCTGCAGAACTAAGTTTACTACCTAGTTTAGATATATGAAGGCCCCATTGAAGCTTCGCTTCAATTGTAATTTCGAGAAAAACAGTAGATTCAACAAGGTTCAGCAGCACTGGTATTCACCTGTTTAACATTAGGTGTGGCGAATTTAATATATTTCGTTTTATTACCGTTTAAAAGCAAAATTGTTGACCTTAAACCAGTGTCTTACTTTTGATATAGCATTATTCACTTGGTTTTATTTCAAAAATTTGCTTTTAAGTCGGAAAATCAACGAAGTATCATCATAATCATCATCATCAAATAAAACTATATCATGGTTATTCCTACTAAGTAAGTTATTTCTATAAACTAAGAACATGAAGAGGCCAGGAATTGAGGCCCGAGGAACACCCATGTATGTAACCGATTCTCGTCAAATATCACGTTTATCACCAAAAAAAATTGTCCCGTTGTTTATTAATTTTTTTCGCCAACTCTTTAGATTAGGCATTTATGATGTGATTAGACCGCATATAAATTGAATCTTGTATTGTAGAGCTTGGTAGAGCTAAGTAAGCATAGATAGAGCTAACTAATTGTTATTAATATATTTTTAAAATCTGTTAACATTCATAAGCACAATTAATAATAACGCTTCAGAATTTATTGTAAACATTCAAAGATAAATATAAATTTTACAAATGCCTTTCACCCGCGTATAAATAAAGTCATTATCAAAAGTGAGTTGTGTATTAACATTTAATAGGTACCTATACATAACTTGAATTCATTACTTTTGAAAGAAGTTTAATTTATAAGAAGCTTAATTCGATTTAGTAAACACGAAGACTGACTAGACTATGAGTAAATTAATAGTCTATTCCAATTTGTACGAGTTTTTCGTTAACTTTTTTAAGTGGTAGAGTCATGCTGGAGCTATGTTATGGTTTATTTAACACAAATTAGCGGTCGGGGAAAGTCGTGTCTAATAGAATACTAGCGTGAAATAGCAGCTTAATGCTGCTGTGTTTCATATGGTGAGTGAAGATGACAACCTTAATTTTAACTGGAAACGCGGCATTTCATCTTAAACTTCAGGGGTGAAAACGCATCTGCATTTTGATTTTTAATCGAGAATAAATCTATGGTTTACAGCATCCATTTACCATCATTTGGTTCATAATAAAGTTAAGGACCCGTCAAGCACGTACAGTAGTTTTCCGTACGGAATCTTGTTCGAGATTCCGCATTTCACAATTCTTAATTAAATATTGATCTATGGGCTTACTATCAAGTAGATTGTGTTTCTTTTTATAGGATATGGGTGACATACGAGCACACAGTCCACCTGATGGTAAGTGGTTGCTGCGGCCCATAGACATCTACATCTATCCTCTATTACAAATCAAAATGTAGATGCGTTGTCACCCGTGAGGACTAAGATGGAATGCCTCATTTCCAGTAAAAAGGGCCTCCGGCCACCTGCACTCACCAAGCGAAACGCAGAGGTAAACCTCTACTTCACGCTGGTTTTCTGTGAGGTCGTGGTACCACCCCGGTTCGAGCCGGCCCATCCGTGCGACAGCAAAAGCTGCCGCGTGGCTCTACCACTGACAAAAACTTGTGTACTCATTAGTCACATATATGTAGTCATTTTATTAAAAAAGGGAAAGAGAAACATTAAGCTCTTACCCGACTTGAGCGCCTGCTTCAGAACCTTCCACTGCCTTGCGTGATACAACGACAATATTAACACTACTGCAAAGAACACCACACAGCCACTCACAGCCAGTGTGAAAGTTGACGTTTGTACATCCCATTCTAATTCACCATCACTATTATCCGTCACTTCACCGCTGTAGTCCGCGTATTCGTAATATTCGTAATCACTGGACTGTTCACTCGCGTTCGTTCCATTGTTTTTACGAGGGCGAGTGTTAAATGGAAATATTCGTACATCGTAGAGGGACTGGCAAACTGTGTCCCTGTGCAGTTCGCAGGGGTACTTGACGGCGAGGCGCGTGGGGTCGCAGCGGGTGCAAGGGAGGCAGGTGCCGCTCTGCCGGTGCCACCAGCTACGCCCGCGCTCGCACGGTCCCGATCCCGACACGACACCGAGTGCCAGTGTTGCGACCAGTAAACACAGTCGTATATCTGCTTGCATTACCTGTAATTAACTCATGTTTCAAACACTAATAATGTAGCTAAATCCTAAATTTTATTAGAATAATAATGAAATTAATACTTAGTGGTTTTGTAGCTATTTTATTTTTAAGTATTTACTATCAAACTGTATATTGTTCTTGTGGTAAATAACTGTCTTTAACCTGAACCTGATATTAAGAGCATAATATTTCCTCCCGTACTTAATATACCGTAAACTTAACTTTTCCTATTTTTTTCTAAGTAGTTAGGGTTGTCTCTTTTATAGAAAATGAATAGTGTACTGATTTTTTAATCGATATTTTACAAATGTATTATATTAATTTGAAAACTATTTCATGGATAGAAAAAGAAAGTACAAGAGGCTTTCAAATTTCACATTAAGACTTAGGTATTATTGCTATTGCAGTGTCTGAAATAAAAACCATAAAATTACGACATGGACAACAATAAAATAAACTTACTGATTACCTTAATGCTTAAATTCATGAATGCTGTCTAAGTGTTCACAAAGGACCACATCTCAATAATTATTTGTAGAACTTTCACAAATTTCACATTATTCATGGGATAACGTTATTGTGTAAAACAGCACAATTATGTAACAAAGCATCATCAAACCGATACAGCGTACGTTATTTCGTATTAAATATTAATAAACATAAACAAGTTTTTTTTAAGAATACACGGAGACGAGTGCGTCTCCAATGCGCTTGCGACACGGTCTGTCTGGCGCAGTCTGGCATCACAGGCACGAGGCGGAGGCGCAGGCGGGCGTCGGCGTCGCGACTCCCTCATTCAACTTTATAAAGTCGCATTGACATCAATGAAGTGTGCTCCGTTCCAGTCAACTCGTACTAGTAAGCGTCATTATCAACCGTCTTCAAAACAAGAAAGAGTTTCGCATTTAGACTGTATTTTTTGTGTTTCCTCAGAATTTTTCTAAGTGAACCGATTTTGATGATTCTTTTTAAAGTGAAAACTTCTTTACAATCGTGATTTAAAACGAAACAGCGACACTATAAAGAGATAAACATATACACTTGTGACGGCTCCGTGGCGCAGTGGCTTAGCAATGAGTTGTTGCACTGGGGGCCGCGGGTTCGAATCCCGCACGGCACAAGTAATTTGTATGGCCTACAAATAATTGTTCCGGGTCTGGATGTTTGTCCTCGTGCAATTTATGTTTGTAAACTGCCTCCACGATACAGGAGAGAATCCTAGTGTGGAGGTAACGCTTTTTGTTTAAAGAAAAATAAACCTATATGATTTAATGACATAGAATATTATTTTAAATTAGTCGTGTTTACGCCACCTAGCGTCTATTTTACGTCACTTTACTTTTGATAGAAAATATTCTTTTCATTTATTACACTAAATTTAGGCTCTACATGTCTAAACATATTATAACTTTTATTTGTTATCAAATTAAAATTTTATCTTATATTTTATGCCGCACTTGTGGTTGAAAATTAGTATGTTAAATAAATCATTTTTATTAGTCGCCATTTTTCTACTTCCCATATACGAGTTAGCTCGTGACTAGTCCGAGCAGGCTAGTGTCAACGCGGCTTAAGACACATAACAGCAGACATAAAGGTACTCTGTGGTCAGACACAACACAATGCTCAACGCTATTTTGATGTTGGCGGTCGTTTTTTATCAGATTATCTGTTAAACACTGTTGAAAATTTGTATACCTACGTATCGTACTTTTATTACATGCAAAAATAACATCATCCATACATATCTACGATTTTCAATTGTTATGTTCTTTATAAGCATCTACGAGTACGTTTACTTCTTAAACAGTAGACGAAACACAGCAGCTTAATGCTGCTGTGTTTCGTTTGGCGAGTGTAGAGAACCAGAGATCCTTTTTACTGAAAAAGAGGCATTCCATCTTAGTCCTCACGGCTGACAACGCATCTGCATTTTATTCGCAAACGAGGATAGATGTAGATGTCTATGGGCCACAGCAAGCACTTACCATCAGGTGGACTGTGTGCTCGCTTGTCACCCATCAACTCGCACCCAACAATCTTGCTTGTCAACATCGTCAGTATAGTTCAAAGATCTTAACATACCTTGATCCATATTTCTCCATACGTCTTTTCTACTACGAAAAGGGCTTTGACCTTTCCTCAGAAATCTCGAAGTTATAGGCAGCCAGTGCGTCATTATTCTTTTGTACTTCTTGGCTTTTTTTCTTTAGTTTTTGAAAGAGGTAAAATTTCAAATTTCAAATTTATTTTTATTGGGTAAAAATAACTAGGTAATCGGAATATGGCGGGTGGCTAAGATAGACCGATTTTTTACTCGAAGTTAATCTTTCTTTGATCTTTTAGCACCACAAAGCAATATGACCAGATGATATGATATCTCATCTTGCAGAAAATCAAGGCAACTATTTGTTTCAGTGCGTTTGCGTTCGTGCGCCACCCATTTCATGCAACGGTTACGGAAAGAAAGTTTCACTCACTCAAGCTCTACATATTATGTAGATATTCTTCGGTTAAGTAAAATGAGTTTTTCCACTGCTCAAACATATTCTTGAGTGATCGCGCACCATTCGCATTACACCATTTTTGGTGATGATATTCGTATACTTTGATACTGATTTTGGTCATTTATTCTTCCACCATTGAGTAGCGCTGGTAGAGCGGCCAGTATTTTGTGGGCTTATAAATAGTTGTTCCAGTTGGAGAGCCTTTTAAGCATAAGTGACCGGGAGAGTGTAGTGGCCGGCATGAGGGAATTCTCTACCCCATATCATCTCGTGGGTGTCGTAAGTGGAATTAAAGTAGAAAATTGGCAGCAGCATCTTCTTGGTAATAACAAATAACAATAAAAAAACTGCGGTTGCCAACCGTGGCAACTATTGCAATATGGGGGTATATCGAGTGACAGCCCGCAGTCCCTCTGGCTGTGGTGGCGACCATGGTAACGGCGGGGCAGGGGGTCCTAAGAATTCCTCCGGTGGAGATTCTGTTGTCACTAAAGATGACTCGACCTGGCAACACATAACCCATGCACCCAGAGGAGTGAAGAGAAGATCCTGAAGCTGGAAGGAGTGAAACAGTAGAAAAACACAAATTCGTTTTAATAAAAGAAATAAAATGGTGTTACTTATCATATATATTTATTAGAAAACCATTACTGAAATATTAACACCTAATTACAAAATTAAATTTAGTCTTCTAGCTTTCTTCGCAGCGAACAAATCAATTACCTCCTCGGTGTCGATATCAATTCTGCGGTGGATTGACATTAACGCCAAACCGTTTAGTCTTTCCTGGCCTGTGGAGTTTCTCAAATAAGTTTGGAGGCGTTTCAGAGAACAGAAAGTCCTCTCAGGAGCAGGTACATGTAGAAACAGGCAGTGTCGCCAAGATCTTTAAAAGTTTGTGAATGTTTGGAAATAAGTCCTGATTGCATTCTCCGAGAGATTCTTCCACCCATTTTATCCGCCACATGTCTAATTCAGCTTTTAGCTTTACAGTCCCATTCCAAATATTTTTTATAGAGCTCGAAGTAGTTTTCTTGCTAATTTTGATTAATTTGTTCTTTGCAACACACAGACGGAATTAAAATGTTGAGAGATTATAATTTATAATGTGGCTATATGATTTTGGAATCTCGACTGAACTGAAGCTGATAAAATCATCCAACACTCCAACAGTAGAACCATTATAATAATACAACATCCAATTCAGTCGAATTCATAGTTATGAATTTAGTATAATGTCAATAATTATATAACGGACGTAATTCGCCGTCGTTAAAAATTCACACATTTGGAGAAAAGCAGTTGGGTTAATAATGACGTACAAAATGCAGTATAGATCTTGATACTGTTGGTAGTGTACAACCATATCGCTTAATAAGAGGCTACTGGACCCATCTATTGATGCAGCAATAAAACTTACTTTAAAACAAGTTATCGTGAATGAGGGCTAATAATTTTCTGCTCACTAGATGTCGCTAGCTAACACTGAGGTAAAGTTTTTTCTTGCACAATGTCATTTAATTGAGAAGTTACTTTTTAATAAAACTTTATTAGTTTCTAGAGTATTATATTAATAAACAAAACAATGAATCAGTGGTTTGCACTTTACTTTTTTGCACATTATTAACTTTTTTTTAATTTTTCTACTTTTATTAACATGTGTGGTTTGGTTTATTTATTTTTATTCTTATTAATATAAAATATAGATAATAGTATGTACAGAAAGAAACATTAACCTTTACATTTTCCGAACAAATTAAATTCCCGGCTATGAAATCTGTCCAATATATATCTCACTTTTAAGTGGCACCGCCCTGTTGTCAGAAAAAGTAGTGGATGCCCTCATTTTTCACAGATAGTAACATTGATCTTTTTTATGTCATAAATGAGTGTCCCATTGACAGATACTTCAAAGCTCTCAAATCTAAGTCAGCCATAATTGTGTGAAGTGAAGTGGTGTTTATCCGATGGAAATTTTCATCCAGTTAGATCTTCTTAGATTTTGGCTAAAATGGTAAGATAACTTATTGATTATTATTTTGTATGTATTTTGCTAATGTTTTCCGTGCGATTTTGGCTCTGAACGTATTGTAACTTGTTTTATTTCAATTTTTATTGGTGGCAGTATATATGCCACTACCCGCTCACTGTTTTGTTTTGGTGGCAGTATAAATGCCATTGCCTGTTTGTATTCCAGGTATACCCTAAATGATGATGACATTGAGAATGAGCTGGAGCGAATGTTTGGGCTACCTGATAATCCAGACGAATCAGAAGATAAGTACGAGAGCGAAGATGGCGTAGAAATCGATCTAGATGTACGTGCGATGTCGGAGAATCGCAATATTATTAAAAATCGAGAATATTATAAAAGTCCAACAACTGGACCATCAAGTCGCAGTCTTGTGAGTTTCCTTTCTTCTAGTGATGGTGAAATGTAATTCGGAATCTTCCGCTGACTCTTCCTCACATTATGAGAATGACAATGACTGGAAAAAAGGTAGTATGTGGCCGGACAGGCCAAATGCAGATAAATTTGATTTGTTTTAATTTACATTGAAACCTAAAGTTTTCTTTCGAAGCAGGACCTCCCCAATGGCTAATTTTTCGAGATATTTTTCTGAAGAAGTAACTTATCTCATAATTGAGGAAACTAATTTGTATGCCTCTCAGAAAGCGACTTTACATTGGGAACCGGTTAGAAAGCCTGATATTGATGCTTTTTTGGGAATTATTATTTTGATGGGTATTCATGTTTTACCATCTATAGATCTATACTGGTCTAGTGACCCATTTTTTAGAGTCGACGAAATAGCACAAGTAATGACGTGCAAAAGGTTCAAAAAATTTTAGAAAACCTTCACCTAAATGATAATTCCAAAACTCCTGCTAAAACAAGTCCTGATTATGACAAATTATATGAAGTTCGGCCTGTCTTGGAAATGCTGAACACTGCTTGTCAAAGAGAAGCGAAACAAACAACTTCTCTGAGCATAGACGAAGCAATGATACGATTCAAGGGTATATCATCTTTGAAACAATATGTTAACGTTAATTAGACGGGTTGGTTGGAATCCAAAGAACTCAACAATTTGCAGCAAACATTTTCTTGAGAAGTATACAAGAAAAATTAGAATAAAAACAATTTTATTAAAAGGAACTGTAGTGTTTGCATATATGTAGTATTCAGTAAATATTGTTATTTGTTTTATTTACTAATAATTTACCATGCACAAATACACAAACATACATTTATATATAAGTCACTGTCTCGAGCGCACCACGTCAGTTACACGAGAGCCTCGAGCGAGAGTGGACGTGTTTAGTTAAGTGCGTGCCGAGCCTGTGTTACACTACAGTGATTAGAGAAGATAGCAGACATTACAAGTGGCGACGAGGAAAAAGATAAGTACCTATTTAGTATAAAGATATAATCAAAAATAGTTTAGCAATGTGCAACTATTAGCATTGCAATTGTAAATGAATTCCTAGAGTACCCGCGGAAAAAAACTGTGGATTATGAATTATGATTTATTGTTTTTAACCCTGTTCTGATCATTTTAATAATTTATATAAATTATATTTTCGCATATGACCACGCTTATGGTGAGCAAAAATTTATTTTCTTTATGTAGCAATGATAAAATAATGATTTATTTTAACATATGTCTATTAGCACAACTTTTATTTAAAAAGATTTTGGATGGAAAAATAGTAGATGTTACTAATCACTCCTCTCGATTCGAACCGAAATACAATGTCGTTAGCTAAATTTTAGTGGCATTTTACATGTAGGTGTGATATTTATCGCCTTTAATGAAAATACTATTTTACTGCTTTCATGGCATATATAAGTCTTAAAAAAAATCGTGGACACTTCACGACTTCTGTACATTGCAAAGTAGGTAACTAGTAATACTGTAAATGCGCATTATAGGCATTGAATTTACCCAAAGCCTAAATGGCACAGCAATAGAAGTAGTCGGTATACAAATAAACCGAAAAAGAAAGGCGAGTGTTATGGAACATATTACTATCATTAAATTGAGTTTGGGTACTAAGATACCACCATTAAATTGGAGTTTGGGTACTAAGATACCACCATTAAATTGGAGTTTGGGTTCTAAGATACCACCATTAAATTGGAGTTTGGGTACTAAGGTACTACCATTAAATTGGAGTTTGGGTACTAAGGTAGGTACCACCATTAAATTGGACTTTGGGTACTAAGTTACTACCATTAAATTGTACTTTGGGTATTAAAATACCAGCATTAAATTGGAAAAAAAATATAAGAAACTGTTTCAGTTTGCCCCTAAAATAATAATAATAATGATACCGTTATCAGCTTTAAAGTGATAGTAATTTGATGTAATATACTCGAAGTTGATGGACGAAAGGAACATACAACCATTTACGTGATTTCGAGGGGTACTAGAGACTTGTTTGGTAAGAACATAGCAGTCCGTCTGGGTGCCTTAAAACTTGGTATCGGGATAAATCAAGTGGAGAGTACGATCCCCATTAAAGAGAAGATTGCAATCAAAATTAAGGAATCACTAAACAGTGATATAATTGAAGAAGTGCAAGGCCCGCCTAAATGGGTTTCACCAATGTTCCAATCATGAAAGAAAATGGTGAATTACGTTTGTGCGTAGATATGAGATGTACGAACGCCGTTATATTGCGAGAAAACCACCCCCTGCCTACTATGGACCATTTTTGCCTAAAATGAAGAAAGCTAAATATTTTAACAAATTAGACATAAAAAAATGCCTTCCATCTAGTGGAAATTCACTCTGAATCCAGACACATAACGACTTTTATAACCCCCAAAAGATTATATACATATAAAAGAATAATGCGAGGAATTACCTGCGCTTCCGAGATTTTCCAGAAGTTCATTGAAAGGATGCTGATAAACTGTGAAGGGGTCGTCAATTTTATTGATGATATCCTGGTATTCGGGAACAGTGAAGAAGAACATGACGCATGACTAAAGAAAGTTCTACAGGTACTTAGTAAAAACAACGCCTTGTTGAATAGCAATAAATGCATATATAAAACGCAGGATGTGAATTTTCTGGGACACAGGCTTACACATGAAGGAGTAAACCCTTCAACAAGTACGTTGAGAGCATTATGAAATTTAGGGTCCCAAAGACCATAGAAGAACTCCAAAGTTTTTTAGGACTCTTAAACTACATAAACCAAAAATTTTAAAGCAGCCAGGAATAGGTGCAATCAAATGGTACGGGCAGCTAAGCGCCGATATTTCCATAATTGTATTAACAACTCTTCTCCCGCCGAAGTGTGGAAATTTCTTAGATCTTCTGGTCTTTGCAGGCCAGCTACATTGGATTGTGGTCCTTCTCTATCACTTGATGAAATCAACCAACATTTCGCTTCTGTAACAGCAATGGACCCTACAATTCGCTCTCAAACTGTGGCTTCCATTGCTTCTGTGCAAATTCCTAATATACCTACCTTTAATTTCTCTCCTGTTTCGCAGGATGATGTCAAAAAGTCTATTTTAGCAATTCAGTCCAAGGCGGTGGGTTATGATGAGATTAGTAGAGTTTTTATACTAGAGCACCTTCTTCCGGCAATTTCCCATGTTATAAATTTTTCCCTTGATTCAGGTCAGTACCCTAATCTTTGGAAAAGGGCTTTTATAAAGCCCCTTCCAAAAGTTCCTTCTCCCATTCTTCCCAATCATTTTCGCCCTATATCCATTCTACCCTTTCTATCCAAAATTTTAGAATCCTGTGTTTACAAGCAAATTTCTACATTCATTTTGAAACATAACCTACTGAGTATATATCAGTCTGGGTTTCGCCCTGGTCATAGTACCAGTACTGCTTTAATTAACGTCACAGACGATATTAGAAACGGTATGGAAGATCATGAAATCCTTCTATCCATACTGTCTCATCTAAATTTTGGCCCTACAGCATTGGAATGGTTTGCATCTTATCTTCGCGGTCGACAGCAGTCAGTCTGTGTGGGGCAAATAACCTCAGCTTGGGCTGATGTGGAAGCTGGTGTACCGCAAGGCGGTATTCTTTCTCCTATAATTTTTTCTATTTTTATAAACTTTATTACCTCCATCTTCGATTGCTCGTACCATCTGTATGCCGATGACCTTCAGCTATACGTGCAAGCTGAAATTGGGGATATCCATAATGGGATTAAAAAATTAAATAACAACTTACAAGCTATCAAGGATTGGTTTACTCGTTATGGAGTATTGGTCAACCCTTCAAAATGCCAAGCTATACTGGTGGGTAGCTCAAGAATGCTAGCCAAGATTAATCTTGCAGACATACCCTCTATCTACTACAATGGGATTACAATACCGTTCAGTAAGTCTGTAAAAAATCTTGGCCTACACATTGACAACACGCTGAATTGGAGAACTCAGGTTACTGAAGTCAGTCGTAAAGTCACTGCTACGTTACGTACTCTGTATCGTTTAAAACATTTTCTCCCCACAAAGTCTAAGATCATGCTTGTCCAATCACTCATATTACCCATAATTGATTATGCAGATGTGTGTTACCCGGATCTGTCGCAGGATCTTCTGAACAAGCTGGAACGCCTTCTCAATAACTGTATAAGATTTATTTTCGGGCTTCGTAAGTATGACCATATTTCGCAATATAGATCTAAGCTTAATTGGCTTACAATCCGGCAGAGGCGTATTTCCAGAATATTACTTGTTCTTTTTTCCATATTAAATGACCCATTTTCACCTTCTTATCTTAAGAGCAAATTTCACTATCTCTCCTCATCTCATGATAGGGTTCTACGTTCGTCTTCTAACAACAAAATATGTATTCCAGTTCACTTCACCGAGTTCTATGGTAACTCCTTTACAGTTCAGGCTGCACGCCTTTGGAACTCCTTGCCTGACGACATCAGAAAAGCTCCCAATAAGTTTGCTTTTAAAAAGTTGGTGCGTAATCATCTATCTGTTAAAGACAACGCTTCTTAGATGAATCATCCATGTCATTTATATTTTAGACGTATATATTTATAGTTATTTATATGTATTATTTGTATATGTATGTTGGTATGAATATATGTATGCTTATGTATGTACGTATATATTTGTATACATGTATAAATAGGATATATTTTTATAGTTTATTTATTGTATATAATAGTAAAATGTATATATAATGTAATTAATTATACATTTCTATTTTCTTTTTATTCTATATTGCTACACCTACTTCAAATTCTCACCACTCCATGGGTTGACTGGTAGAGAATGCCACAAGGCATTAAGTCCGCCCTTTGTATTCTTTTAGGTTAAGGAATGCAATAAAGAATAAATAAATAAATAAATAAATAAACAAATGGATACCTTACTTGGCCGCCATGACAGAACTTCTGAAGGTATTATGACGTCAGAGATGCAAGACAGGTGATAGCAGATGCTAGCCCTGTCGGACTTGGTGCTGTCCTTGTACAAAATGATACAAATGGCCCTAGAATTATTGCCTATGGTAATCGAACTTTGGCAGACTACGAGCGCAGGTATAGCCAAACGGAAAAAGAGGCACTAGCATTAGTTTGGGGGGTCGAACATTTTAATATTTTTATTTGGAAAGCCTTTTGATTTAGTCACTGACCACAAGCCGCTAGAGATATTGTTCGGGTCTAAGTCAAAATCATGTGCGAGAATTGAACGATGGGTACTCAGGCTACAGTGTTATTCATTAAAGGTTGTATACAAGCCAGGAAAAACAAATATAGCTGATCCCTTGTCACGATTATGTAACTATCCTGATAACCCACCAAAAGGAAAAGACCAGCATGTGTACCAAATAGTGGAAAATTCTAGACCAGTTGCTATACCAATGAGTTCCATTGTAGCATATTCAGAAAAAGACCAAGAGATTTACAAAGTGAAAAAATCTTTTTCTATCAGAACGACTGGGACGATTCGATAGAGTTACAAATTTTTTCAAAACGAGTTGTGTTGTTGAGTTGAAATAAAATTGTAATACCACAGCAACTCTGCAAGAGTGTATTAGATGCTGCATACGAGGGTCATCCAGGTATCGTAGCGATGAAGGGACGCTTGAGATCAAAGTTATGGTGGCCCCGTATCGATAAAGACGTAGAACAATTAGTAAAGGCCTGTAAAGGTTGTAAGATAGTGGGTTTGCCAAACCCAACTGCACCAATGAAGAGACGAGAGTTGCCTGCAGCTCCATGCATAGATGTCACAATGGATCTAATGGGACCATTGCCAAGTAACGAGTATCTGTTAGTAGTGGTCGACTACTATAGTCGATACAAAGAAGTAAACAAGTACAAAAACATCACAAGCTTACAGATTATTAAAATGGTAAAAGAAATGTTCAGTAGACTTGGTTATCCTATTTCTATCACCGCAGACAATGGCAAGCAGTTCGTTAGTGAAGAGTTTCGATTTTTCTGCAAAGAATGTAACATTTAGTTATTTAGTACTGTACCATATTGGCCTCAAATGATCGGCGAAGTTGAAAGACAAAACAGAGATATTTTGAAACGTCTTCGTATCAGCCAGATCGAGAGGAAGGATTTAAAAGAATGTTTGTGGGAGTATCTTCTAATGTATAACAGCACCCCTCCTTACAGTTATCGGGAGGTTACCGTCTGAACTGTTTTTTCAACGAAAAAGTAGGGATAAAATTCCATCAATAGGTGAAATAAATTACAGACAATCATTTAGATTCAGATATCAGGGATAGAGACAAAATACAAAAAGAAAAAGGAAAAGAGTATGTATATAGGAAACGCAGAGCAATTCACTCAGATATAATACAGGGAGTTAAGGTTTACGTAAAAGCAGTGGAAAATAATTAATACAGACAATACAAGCTGCTTTGTGATTGTTATGAGTTATAATGAAAAAAAGAAAAAATCTTGATAAGAAAGAGATGTAGTGTTTGCATATATGTAGTATACAGTGAATATTGTTATTTGAAAATTGTGTGTTGTTAATAATTTACCATGCACAAATACACAAACATACATTTCTGTCTCGAGCGCACCACGTCAGATACACGAGAGCCTCGGGCGAGAGTGGACGTGTTTAGTTAAGTGCGTGCCGAGCCTGTGTTACACTACAGTGATTAGAGAAGATAGCAGTTATTACAGGAACTATTAGTTATTTATTTATTATTTGTACCAGTAAGTATAATATTGGTACAGTACGCTTTCAAAATTTTAAAAAATAAAAAGAAAAAAGAAAAGTAGTAAAAATAGAGATAGATTTTTATACATTATTAAACTGCAGTATATTAAATATATAAAACTTTGAGATTATCCTATTAAAGCAATTATGAACCCAACTGAGTATCTATTCATCTACCAAAAAATGTATTATCTTACTTAACCAACTGCACCTCACGGTCTCATTAATACAATATTTATAGCATCACGTTATTTTCCCTAAGGGGTTGAGCGGAGCCTCGGACTATATATCCAAGTCACAATGATAAAACTTTTAATTTGGTTAGATATAGATATTTAGTAATGCTCCTGTAGTGCCGCTAGATGCCCGTGCATGGGACGCGTAGTTCAGTTTGCCAGGATAGTATAAATTCCATAGTGTTTGATACTCATAACACCCGGTGCCCGATTTATGCTTGGCACCTGACGACACTGTATCGAGGGCTTAATAGCGTGGTTCATTGCCTACGGCGTTATGCGTAGAGGAGAGGAACATGTGTCTATTAACAGCTGCGCGGATCAATAGTTCTACGAGATTAAGTTGCGCTTGTCACATTGAGTCCATGGATGGGTTACCGTCTTCTTAAAATACCAAAATTGAGAGAATAGACAGTGCATCTGTATTCTCAGATACCTGGTACACTTTCATATCTCCTGCGTATTTGGCTAGTCTGTGTAAGATCATTGTTTTTAAATTCATGCAGCTAAAATGATAATAAGTTTGCTATTTTTTAGGTACAGATGAAAGAAAGAGAGTAGCCTCATAAACATATTGGCCTTTAAACAGAGCAAAATAAGTTTTAACTGATTCCTACAAGTTTCCTTAGTTAAATTATTAAGTTTAAATGCATATTTAAGTCGAATGTTAAAATTAACTTTTATAATGTATTGAATTATTAATTATTGAATTTTTGTAATTACTATAATAATAGTTATATGAAAAATAAAGCAGCCATTATGTACTCCGTGCCCCGTTTTTTATTTCAACAGCAAAACGTTTTATACAGTATATAAAGTAAAAATAGGTTTTTACTTAATTAAGTATCTATCTATTTATAGTTCATTAACGTTATGTTAAAAAAAATCACGAGAAACTATTCATGGCAGTAAAGTTTTGTCTAAAAGTCATACATAATTCAAAAATACAACTTTCCGATCTGATTCTTGAAGGAAATTATTTAAGTTTATCGGTAGACTCACCTCTTCAAAGAGTATTGGGAATTTGTACATTTTGAATTAAAATACAACAAAAGGCAGGTAGGTGCAGCTTATTCCCGGGAACCTGTTATTTGAATATTTTTTAATTATTTTAGAACTAAAGGTAAAAATTCAGTTAATTTTTGAGGTTTTTCAGTTTCGTATACTAAACTTTTTTTTTATTTTTACCACTTCCTTAGCAATCATTTTCGATAGCCCTTGTAAGTAAAATGCACGTCACTAGCTAACGCACACAATGACAAATCAAAATTGGTTATAGTGCCACCAACTTATCTGTTCAGTTGACAGCGTCGCTAGTGGAGTGCTTACTATTGCCATTTAAGAAATTCACCGAGAAAATAGGTAACTACATATTCATTACACATAATATAAAATAAAACAAATTTCGCGTTAATATTTTAAAATTAGTGAGAATTAGTGTTATTATATATATTATTTATATTTTATAAAAATAATTGTGGTCATGATCTCGGAGTTCAAGCGGCCGAACTCCAGGAATTTCTGTTTTGAAAAATGTACCCGCGTCAGCTACTGGTTCCAATAATTCATCTTCTGAGTCAGTGGAATTGCTTTCACTATCGCTCTGACACTCTATAATAAAGGGTTCATTTAAATACGCGTCTTTAATCTGTATTCATTTTCAATTTTTTTTACATTATTTCAAATGATTGTCCACTGCACCGGTGTAATTTTATGAAATGAATCTTCAATTAATTGGGGCATTAGTACATTAGCAATACAAACTACAAAGCTAGGTACTTTAGATGAATTGCAGTAAATTGAGATAATTTTTTTACTATATTTCACAAGTACATTAATTGGCGATTTTAATTTTCCATATCTGGCAATACTAACCTGTCGCGACAGCAACGCGTTTATTATACAGCTTTTTAAATGGTATAGTTGGGACTTATACACGTTTCTCTTCTTCCATAAAATATAAAACTTTTAGGATAATCTATCGCTTATCACTTTTAAGACCTATAGGCAGTTTATTTATCTTTTTAAAAACACTCACCTGATAGCTCAGTATAAATAATAGCTGACAGCTAAATGTCATTTACAAAATGGCGGCTTTAGTTCCAATTTTGTCCACCTGAACAGATAAGTTGGTGGCACTATACACATTTTCAGGCTGTCAGGTCGTCTATACGCCAGTATATTCTAAGTCTATGGTTTACATTCATATTTAAGTCAAATGTCAAAATGAACTACTATATTATATTTCATTATTAAATATCTGTGCCCTCTTAAAATATCTTGATCCAAGCTGTGTCGTACCAAACATAAAAACAAGTCAAAATCATCTATACAAATAAATAAAATTGAAGTGTCTGTTTGTAATGTCAAAATAACAGCTTTTTACTAAATGCATATGAAAGTAAATACGGTACTTATAACTAAAATACAATTTTTAAAATTTTTGTCTGTCTGTCTGTCTGTCCATCTGTTTGTTCCGGCTAATCTCCAAAACGGCTGGACCGATTTTGACGGGACTTTCACTGGCAGATAGCTGATGTCATAAGGAGTAACTTAGGCTACTTTCATTTTAGAAACAGAATTAGGGTTCCGCGCAAAAAATAAAAACCCTAACACGCGAGCGAAGTAGCGGGGAACAGCTAGTCTTTCAATATAAGGAGTACAGTTTTACTCCGTTTAGGTCTCCCAATACCTCTAGTGATTTTATTATTTTCGCGTATAAACTTTTCACATTTAAGAAAAAGGTGAATTACATCTTGTGAAGGATAATGTAAAATAACCTTCAATCTTAGATGAAAAATCTCGTGAAAATGTTTGCTGCAAATTGTTTTGTTCTTCTTTGGATTCCAACCAACCTGCCCAATTAATCTTTACCATTTTTTTTTAAATTATGAAATCCACTGGGAATTTGTTTGACAAACGGCAAAATAAAATTACGTTTTTAAAACGCAAATTGAGAATTGATTTTCATTCCTCTTCTTGTTGTGTGGGCAAGTCTATTGATTCATTATAAGCATTCAAGATAAATATCCACATTAATTTTGATATAGTTAGAATCCCTAGCGTACATGTAAAAATTTTTGTTTAAAATGTATTCACAAAAATCATGCAAATTATCAACAACGTGACTTTTTCTTTGCAAGATATCAAAATTAACAAAATAATTGAAAATATTATCTTAAATAGTATTTAACATAAATTTTAACCAAAAATATACGCATCATAGCAGTGAGGACGTCTTGTGAATTTATCGGTGAAATGTGCAATTATCGGGATTATTTCTATTATTGATACCTCAGTCACTCACAGAACAAGTGGGTAACCATTTTGGAATACAATTACTCACTAAAAATAACCATTATTATACTCTGAAAAATTGCAAAATATCTATGAGCTCGGTTTTTGCGTGCCGACTTGTGCCGAGCTGTCATTCAAAATCGCTTACAGATTCATAAGATTTGCTATATTGGCATTAGGAATTTTCACAATTTTCCCTTGCACACTATAGCTGTCTATTACTATCTAAGTCTATGGATTGCCATAATGTCACTTGCACTTTCAAACTTTGGTTAATAATGTCTCAACTGACTAATATGATGCTTACAAACACGGAATATCAAAAACAAGAGGAAGCCCAAAGTGGACGGAGCAGGTGAGTCAGAATTAGTGACAGCAGAGTTGATTGTCAGTCGTCAGTCGCAGGCTCAAATTGTTGCGAGCTGACGGATCGCTGCTTAAGTGATATATGCGAAAATATTGCCGTATTAAGCCCGGTACACATGCAGCGACTTTAATCGACGGTGACTCGCTAGCGACTTATGACTTTTGTGTCTATATTATAGCGATTTATCAGTATTCGTTTCGCAGTAGAAGGCAGTAGACGCAAAGAGTATAATAATATATAGGGGAAAGTAGATGTGTATACCGGTGTCTGTTATTCACCTTTTTTATTTGTGAACGTTTCTTTGTAATGTCCGAAGAAAGGCGTCGAATGTTACTAGCGCTAGCAGCCGTTTGCATATATGACAAAGAGAGAGAAAAGAAAAATAGAAGATGTTGGGCGAAAAAATGGTTACTTCAAAGACCAAGATATTCGCATATAAATTTAATAGCCGAGCTAGCACTACAAGAACCGAACGATTTTAGAAACTATTTACGAATGGACTCTTGTACATATCAGCAGTTGTTGTCTCTGTTGGAGCCAATGCTAACAAAACAAGATACGTGCATGAGAAAAGCGATAACAGCTCACGAACGATTATCAGCTACATTGCGATTTCTAGCAACCGGACGATCTTATGAGGATTTACAATACAGCGTTGCAATATCTAAGCAATCTCTAAGCAAGATAATTCCAGAAACATGTGATGCGATCATAGCTACATTGCAAGAAGAATATTTAAAGGTAGGTTTAAAGGTGGTTTTTAGTAAAACTAAACTTTTCTGTTACGTATTTACTATGTGCTAACAGTTATACATTATGGTTGAAAATTATTAAAATACATCGTAAGCTTTTGAGATGTTTTAGAACTGAGCAATCGGGTTTCTGCAATTTCTAGTGACTGATTGTTCGTCTCCTGAGGAACATGAATTTATTGACCACTCACAGGATCTATCAAAAGGCTTTGTGAAAAAGTATCATCAGTAGTAGCATTTGAATTATGAGCACTTTGAACATTTTCATTTTTAGAAAGCAATTGTATATTAACATTATGATTTACATCAATACGACTTTGACGAGAGAGGGAATTCATTCGTGCTTCAAACAAAACGTCGTTAATTAATTTCTCCGCAAAAATTTGTTGATCATTTGGTAAACTCTTTAAAATACCAGCCCATGATTTTGCTGTATGTTCCCAGCGGTCTGTCGGAATAGGTTCGCTGAGATGAGCATTGATTTTACTAAGAATATCTTCTCTTGGTCTCTTCTTTTTTTTATTACTATCACGAGATGCCGTAGTAGACACTGTTGAGGGTGCTGGTGATTGCGTTGACTCCGAAAATATATCAGAATCTACATCTTCATTTCTATTTATTCCTAATTCCTCATCGACAGGTCCCTGAAATAAAATATAAATATAAATACCTATTTTTGTTCTAGTTTCCTGAAACTGAAGAAGAATGGTTAGACGTAGCAAAAAGATTTGAAGAAAGGTGGCAGTTTCCTCATTGCTTAGGAGCTATAGACGGGAAACATGTAAAAATTGTGCCCCCAGCAAATAGTGGATCATACTACTTTAACTATAAAAAGGATTTCAGCGTTGTTTTATTAGCAATAGCAAATGCAAATTACGAATTTATAATGGTAGATATAGGAATTAATGGCCGAATATCTGATGGTGGAGTTATTAATAGAAGTATATTTTATGAGAAACTAAACACAGGATCCTTAAATATTCCTAGGGTAGCAAGGATAATGAATAGTGAAACTGTTTTGCCATACGTCTTCGTGGGGGATGATGCATTTTCTTTACGCCCAGATTTGATGAAACCTTACCCAGGTCCATACTTAAGTCCTCAACAAAGAATATTCAATTATAGACTATCAAGAGCCCGTCGCATTATTGAAAACGTTTTTGGTATTTTAGTCAATCGATTCCGAATATTCAAAACTTCAATCAATTTAGATGTGAAAACCATTGACAAAATAGTAATGGCAGCATGTATATTGCATAACTTTTTACGTCGAAATTGTAATCAATATATCCGAGTGGGTGTGGATATTGAAAATTTAGAAGATGGCAACATAAGCACAGGTTACAGAGCCAACAACGAATTGTTAGATTTACAAATAACGAATCAAGGTCAAAGTCAAACCATGGCTAGATATGTTCGAGATCAATATATGCAATATTTCAATAATGAGGGTAGTGTTTTGTGGCAAAACCGTTTCACTAATTTAAATACCTTTATATAATGTTATTTGATAACAATATGAATAAACAAATATAGTATACGAGTCCTAAAGCATAAATTGTATTTTTATTTCGCATCTTACCCGATCTTTGTTTCCTATTTTAATGTTAGTTATTGAACTTCTAGTCGTCTCTTGATCTTTCAAGAAGTTGAGTAAATCATAATACCATAATGATGGAGTAGGAATATCTTCCACAGCCATTCCAGATTTCAAGCTTTTTTCAATCTTTTCGTGTTGTCTTCGCCAAACATCCCTCATATTTTTAATTTTTTTTATCACAAAATCTCGATCAGCGTTTGGCTCCACCTCCTTAAATTTTCCCACTAATATCTCATAGCTTTGTGACTTTAAATCTCTGTTTGAGTAATCTTTACTCTTAACCATCCATAATGAAGGTAATTCCCGGTATAATTTTATAAATTCAGTTACAAAAGCCCGAGAATATTTACGTAGGTCCGCCATTTTAAAATCACTCACGCACGGCGTACACGTCCACACAGCAACGATGTCGCTGGCGACTGTTTGGCGACTGTCGACTTTTCAGATTTACAGCGATTCGATCGCCGCATTGACAGCGACTATAAATCGCTGCTAATATTCACGTCCACACACAGATTTTGACATCGCCAGCGAGTCGCTATCGATTAAAGTCGCTGCCGTGTGGACCCTTCTTAAGAGTGTAAAAACGAAAGTAAAATATTTTGAATGGTGGTGTTTCGTACCAAAGGCACGTGTAATTATTTCCTTTTTTTGGATAGAAACTTGAATAAACATGGACAAAATATCAAATTGCCTTTATTAACTTCCTTCTGCGTAGCATTGAAAGGAAGTTAATGGGTTTAGCTGGCAGTCTGTTAGTCTGTATGCCGACACGATAACTTCCGTTCCACTGGACCGATTGACTTTAAATTTGGTATGTGGATACCTTGAGGTAGTAGCTCGGTCGAGTTTGAATTTGGGTCCTGTAGGTCAAAGGGTACCAGAGATATGGGATTCACGCAGAAGGAAGTTGTTTTTCTTGAATTTACATTCAACTCGTTACAAGTAATATTCAACCTTATTTCGTTATACTAAGGTTTATCTGTGAATGTATTTTGAATAAAAATAGCTGCGATAGTGTTGTAACTACGACGATATTAAAGTTTTCGATAAAATTTTATCACAATCCTGTTCATCCACTAACATATTAATGAAAATTTGCAAATACTGGATGTCTATGAAAATATACGAAATTATAGGGTGATACTCTATGAATGAACTTTTGTTAGTGGTGCTAATGCTAAGCCAGAGAAGTAAGTAAGTAGTTAAGTAAAACTCACGACTTTTGGAAAGAAGCTGAAATAAAAGTGATCTTAATATGATCTACATTAGTATCTTAATTAATTATCCTCTAAACTTTAATATTAAAGTGTGAAAACGATAATTTTTAACAAATATGACAATAAACAATTGCAAAATTATTGTTTTTTATTATTTGTTTTGTTTCCATTTCATAAATGATAATTTAGCTAACAACAATAAATTTCCATTACAGACAATTAATTATATGCCGGTTATATGAATGAGGGCTACTAACTTTCTGCTCACCAGATGTCGCTAGTTGACACTGAGGTAAAGTTTTTTTGTTACACAATGTAATTTAATTGAGAAGTTAGTTTAAAATAAAAGTTTATCAGTTTCTGGAGTATTATGTCAATACACAAAATAATGCGTCAGTGGTTTGCTCTTAAATTTTTTTGCACATTTTTAACTTTCTTTAATTTTTTCTACTTTTATGAATATCTCTTGTTTGGTTTATTTATTTTTAATCTTATCAGTATAAAATATAGCTAATAGTACAGAAAGAAATAATAAACTTTACATTTTCCGAATAAATTGACTTCCCCGCTATGAAATCTGTCAAATATTACACTTCACTTTCTAGTGGCGCCGCCCTGGTGGCAGAAAAAGTCGTGGATGTCCTCATTACAGGGATATACGTAATGATAAGCACAAAAAGTTGATAAAACTAAATTTGTTAAGTGTCGAATGCACCCAATCGACACTTAGCAAATTTGGTTTTAGTAAATTTTTGAGCTTATCGTTGCATTTAATGCATTTTTAACGATGGTGCAATTATATTCAAATAGAGTGCAGGTTTTCTATATTGCAAAAAATACCCAATTCTGATCATTTGAAGTAATATCGACGTTATAAAATGAGCGATCTTTAACTATTTTTTATTTCTAAACTGCATTGGTGCAGTTTAAATAATTAAAATTTTTGAGCTGTGCTATTTGAAATCCGTCTGTCAGTATATTTTTTTTATATATATACTCCAAACTTAAAGGCTGGGGTAAGGGGGTAAGTAATATTATCGCTATTTTTAAAAAAAATGGTTCGTACTCAAGTGAATGGTAAGTAACATAATGCCTCTCTCTTTTATTTTTTAATAGCCAATCACGCAAAAGTTATTGAAATGGTACACAATTGTCGGTACACATTTCTTTCTTGCGTATGTGTGAGTTTGGCGACAGTGGTTCTGCTACAAATTATGCGTTTTCCTACTTCCTGTTGTTTTTTTAAATTCCGTGCTTACTAACATTGATATAGCTTGCGTATATCTTTATGCAAACTTGGATGGACTCGTACGAAGAAATTATCCTTTAAAATAATTATTTGTTATAAAAACTTCTTTGCAATATGTAAGGTTAAGATTAGACGCGTAAACGCATAAGATTGCATAGTTTTTGGGAGATTTTGACAGCAGCTTGAGCCAACATACAGACACTCGATAATGAGGTACACACACTTCTTTCATCGTATCCACTAATATTTTATATTATATACATAATATGGTAACATTTAATACACAAAATCATGCACATATTTCACGTATCAAATTTACTTCAAACCTCTGTATATACCATGAAGCTAATACAAAGGGGAGACGGCATAAGCAACTGTGCACTGTGATTCTAAGTAGGTCCTGACGTCATCATAGTGGGCGTGGCTTTAGTTAGTATACTGTCAGCATTCGATCTGTGCGCTTATGTGTTGAAAAAATCGCAAATCGGTGTATTTTCGTAGTATTAAGAAGAAAAGGATAAAGTGTTGTGTTTTATTGTGTAAAAACTACTCAGATAGACGCTCTGATGTTATGGATGGCATCACATTTCATTTGTAAATAATTTTACACCTAATTTATTAAAATAGTTCTAGAAAAAAACTCTTTGCGTCGGCTTTCAAATATAATTAAATATATTCGACACTAGATGGCGACACTTTGTGTCATGTGAACTAAAAATATAAAGGTCCGTAGAGCTCAGTATTGGTAAAATAATCATACGAAGGTGCTGAAATTTGTTTTGCATTCAGACATAAAGAAATTTTAATCGCAAAATATTATTTTATAGTTTATAATTATTTTGAGAACAGGCCGTATTCTCGTCAAGTAAACCTCATAAAATGACAAAAAGACAGGGCCCTAATTAGAATTCAATTATTTTTCCCAGAAATCCAACTTTTAATAGTAAATGCAGGAAATTGTACTTATGCTGATTTTTACGAAATGTTTAAGTTATATTTAAGTGACATTCTATATGCAAAGAATCACTTAAATACAATTTAATGTTCTTAGATTGGCATTCAAAAAGTGCATTCGGATGCCTAATTTGGAATAAAATATTTATATTTTAATTGATTTGTAAATAAAATTATATTAATTATAATAACTTGTCTATTATTTGTTCTCCCTCAGAGATATTAAGTAGTATAACCCACACATAAATAATTTTCTGCGTGAAAAAATTACACATACTTAGTGTGGAATAAGCTCAAGGAGACAGAAAGAACACACAAATTTTGGCCTTTATAATATTAGTGAGATAAATAGGATATTTAGTTCCAAATTAAATATCCTACTTAATATTTAGTTTCAAAGAGACTTTATTTTATGGATAAAATAAATATTTCTTGAAGGTTGACTTTAACGAAATGATAAACATATTTAAATTGTATTTAAGTGATTCTTTGCATATAGAATGTCACTTAAATAAAACTTAAACATTTCGTAAAAATCAGCCAAGTACAATTTCCTTCATTTTAATATTGAATGTTGGGTTACTGGGTAAAATAATTGAATTCTAATTGCGGCCCTGTCTTTTTGTTATTTTTTATGAGGTTTAATTGACGATAGATAGCGGCCTGTTTCTAAAATTATTATGAAAACGATAAAAATATTATTTTGTAATGTATTTGCTTCATGAGATAGACGCTCCGATGCTATGGATGGCATCACATTTCATTTGTAAGTAATTTTACACCTAATTTATTAAAATAGTTCTAGAATAATCTCTTTACGTTGGCTTTCAAATATAATTAAATATATTCCACACTAGATGGCGACACTTTGTGTCCTGTGAACTAAAAATATAAAGGTACGTAGAGCTCAGTAATGATAAAATAATCATACGAAGGTGCTGAAATTTGTTTTGCATTCAGACAAAGAAATTTTAATCGCCAATATATTGTTTTTATAGTTTATAACATTTTGTGGACATGCCGCCATCTAACGTCAAGGTAGCTAAGCTACTTTGCAACATCGATATGGAAAGATTCGAGTAGTTTTACTATTTATCGGTAGATGTAGATAATGTAAAGTGGGCGGGGCTTTGCATCCCCTCACCCCGCAAATTGTGACGCGTTGTTACATAGAGAAATTTAATTACAACGTCTCCTCTTTGTATTTGCTTCATGGTATATACGATAAAACAAGAGTAGCAATCCGCCGGCGATCAAGTAGCGCCAAACAACATTGTCAAGTCGATATAGTCATTGTTGCCCTATATATATAGTATATTATCTATGGTCATTGCTGATTGTTGTCACTGTCACTGAATTTGTCATTTTGATTTAAAAATTACACCATTGGCTTTTTAATGCATCAGCAAAATATTAATACTGTTTGTTAATGGATATTTCATACAAATATAATATAGCATTTTTATTCATCTACGTTCAATTAAATAAATAGGTCAAAGACATGAGTACAACTCAACCTAGAAGACACTCCACTGTGAAAGATGTCCAAGGTGAAATTCAAGATCCCAGTGTTTCTACTACGGTTAAATGGCATTGTAATATAAAACCAAGAAGGAGCCGTATAGAAACTGAATATATTGGATTTACCTATCCTCAAAGTACCAATCTCCTTGACCTACTCCTTTATCATTTTACCATGTTTCATTTGTTTTAGCAGAATATAAGCATAACACCTGCCTAAAGTATATATTGAAGTATATTTAAATCTTTACAGATACCTCCTATTCAAATACTACCGATAATACGGGTGATTTGTCTACATCTAAGGCTTTGGTTATAGTAGCCATAATATTTGGTATATCACTGCTGACTTTAGGATTATTGTATAGACAATTCCCAGAATTAGAAGAGTAAGTGGTAAAAGTAATTCAAATATTAATTTGTGTGGTTTCGTAATTAATTACTTCTCATTTTAGGCATGAAAAACAGTATTTGAAATTGCCATGGGATCTTGAAGAAGCAAAGCATTTAGGTCTAGTTTTGGACCGATATAAGGATAAATATTTCTATGAAGTATTAATGGGTGTATTTCTAGTCTATATCTTGTATCCTTTTTATTAATACTTTTATCACATAAAAAATTTAATAGCTTGCAAATATAGTTTTTTAAGTATAATATGAATGAGACATAATTGCCTTGACAAAATATATTACAGTTTGCAAACATTTGCAATACCAGGTTCCATTTTTTTAAGTATCCTTTCAGGATTCTTGTTTCCATTTTATTTAGCTCTACTATTAGTTTGCTGCTGTTCAGCAATTGGTGCCAGCTTGTGCTTTTTCCTGTCAAATCTTCTTGGGAAAAGAATAGTTAGGAAATTTTTCCCAGAAAAAGCAGCCCAATGGTCCATAGCATTGGCAAAACATAAAAATAATTTACTTAATTATATAATATTTTTAAGAGTCACTCCATTTTTACCAAACTGGTTTATTAATATGTCAGCCCCTGTAATTGGAGTGCCTTTAGTGCCATTTGCATTAGGAACTTTTATTGGTAAGTATAAATGTGTCAAATATTTTAAATTTGAAAAAATTGATTGAGGACATTGTTAGTTATTTATCAAAATTAGGTACCAGATAATAATTTGTCTTTCAGGTGTTGCTCCACCATCTTTTGTTGCTATACAGGCTGGACAAACTCTTCACACTCTGACGTCAACAAGTGATGCATGGTCTTGGACGTCAATAACTGTCCTTACGGTTTTTGCTTTTGTTTCTCTTATACCAGTACTACTTCAACAAAAATTAAAAGACAAATTTGAATAAACAATTTTAGTGAATTTATTAAATATATTTAATTTAATTAACTTATTTGTTAGATTTTTATTAAATAAATGTTTTGTACATTCCACAGCAGTGTTTTAATTTTTCCATAGTTTCATTAAATCTTTACATTAGAATCTAACAATAAGAGCCCACATGTGCAACAAAAGTTGAATTCCCATTTGATTGTTGAACTACTGGTCTCCAATACCACCAATTATACCACACTGAAAAAAAATCGTCACTTAACTGTTTTATTATAATATATTATATTTATATTATTGGATAATTTTATATCTGTACATTAAAAAATAATTTATCAGCATTAAGAACCCACATGTGCAACAAAACTTGAATTTTAAGTTTTAACTATGTATCTACATCATTTTAACTAGATCAAAGTTACTATCACTAATCTACTTTTCTTAAATTAACTTGCAAAAGAAAAATCAATAATCAATTATTTTTCTTTTTAACTATGTATAACATATTAAATTTCATTTTAATGATTAGGACCTAATTCAATTTTATTAATTATGTAATTAATGGGTTAAAATAAAATGAAGCCAGAAATATTATACACAACTTTAGGGACTGGAAGAAACATGATTGATCTATATGTAATAAATAAAAAATCTATATAATATTACTAGCTGGCCAGGCAGGTGTTCTGCCCTTTCCGACCACCCTTTGTCCTATAAAAATCCTTAAATTCACAGTAAAACATATTGAGGGTCACTTATCAGGATAAAAACTGTCCTAGCTTTCAAGTTGGACAAAACTGCACACAGTGCAAAATTTCATTGAAATCAGTACAGTAGGTATAGTTTAGGATGTAATTTTTATATATAAATATAGGAAAACTTACATAAATAGGATTCTTTTAAATCAACCTGTGTTGATTTACACTGGTGTTTGCATTCTTCTGCTGGATTCAGAATAACTGTCCTGGTTCCACTTAGGACCAATAGGAAAGCAAAGTTACATTCTGTATCTGGAATGCTAAAGTCATTGTGACTTGAATCAATAATGATGAATCTTTCAGTACTTTGTCCAAATTTCGGCACAACTTTTGCTCTTGGTATTAATTGCCGTAATATTCTTGCCAAGTTTAGATTATTTATTTTCCTAGAACAAAAAAAATTGATATGGAAATTATCAATACAAACAAATTGAAATGCCTTTTAAAATATTACCAACTTATCGTTCGATTGTAGAATGAATTAGTCGATGTTGATCAAGCTGCTTGATTATTGGAGAAACCGCCTCGCTCCACCGAACACTCCCTATCATTACTCACCACGCACACGCTAGCTATCTGACCTGTGTTCAGTTGTATGAAGAGCTCGTTCAAGATATTACAGAGCCCACAACCACATCTACTAATTGTCGATCGGATGCATGAACAATGTTTTATCAACCAGTATTCAACGATCAGCTAAAACTACCACAATAATCAAACGATATCGATCGATGATCAACCCATTGGTGAACACGCTAAGAACATTAAGGGTGTGAATCTTAAATAACAAAGTTAACTTAGAACACCCGAACTATTGTCCTAGTAGTAATATTTTATTTTGTATTAAATCATAAAATTTTAACATTATTTATCGGATTTTGCTTTATATTCCTTCAAGGCTTCTTTGTCCACTTTTAAGCTTAGTAAACCAATCAAAAAAATTGTTTGTTCAAAAAGTAGACCCATCAAAAGTAAGTACTAATGAAATGTTCAAAACACAAAGTGCTGCCTAAGCACATTGCAGTCTTATTATATTGAATAATTTAGTTAAACTTGTATATAAGCAAATCTTAGTAATTTTATAAAGTAGTGTAACCCCAGCTTCGCACGGGTGATTTCTGGATCTCGACAATAACATCAACCTACTCAAATACACACAAAAATATTATAAAAATTGGTCGAGCCATTTTTGAGTTTTTGCAAGATCGATGTGAAAGTATGATTTTTTGTTGTCTTCAATCATGCTTAAATGAGGTGGTACAGTAGTAGTACAAAGTTGTTTACTTGTAAAAAAGGGCCTTAGGGTATTATTTTACAATTATTACTAAGCTTTTTATTTACTTAGGCGTAAATGAAGCGGGCTGGGCAGGGAGCTAGTAGGACAAATCTTTTAATTTACCAGATATATAAATTCGTATCTTCTATATCTTGCTGATTTTGAAAAAGATTCGATGGCGCCAAATGGAATTTGTTATTCATAACAATTTTGGATGATTCTTTGTCAAACAGTTCCTTGTTCCGAAAATATAAATTTCTTAATTTTTTCATATCTACTTGCTCTTGGTCAGTCTGAAATATAAAATAAAGTATAACTAAGAAGACTAAGAATTGAAATCTGTAATAATAATATAACTAACTGCATATACAAGTCAAATCATGTGCACACTACCTCATAAATAAAAGGTGCAGCATGCTGTTGGTGAAGTGGCTGAGGGTCATAAATTTGATGAACATTGTTGACGGTACTGCAAGGCCAACAGTCCATGTCTATAATAGTGTAGAAAGGGTTTTGTATTAGGCATGGTTCCTGATACAATTCTAAAACAGATAAAGACATCCCAACGCTGAATTATTTTTATTTTAAACATTACTCTTTGTTGTAATTAGGATTTTTTATTTCTTTTATTGTGACCTCCACAAAACTATAGAAAATAGATGTGGAAAACATTTAGAGTTGGATCTATTTATTTGAAGGCCATTTAATAATTAGTTCTTAGTGGGATTCGAACCTACAGTGTCCTACAGTGCATCAACGAAATTGCACACACCACTGTGCTCCCGAGCTGTCATAATATGAATTCAGAAATAGTGAAAATAACCTATTTATGCCACTAAGCAGCAGAGCGTTTACTGATGTTTTGCTGTGAAAACTGAGCAAATTTAATTACAGGCTGGCACCTTGGTCTTAATCCTATATTGACAACACATTATGTCATCTTCTTTCTCTGATGTACAAGAGGTACAGTACCTAGTACATTAAGCACTTACAATCAGGTCGACTTTGTTATTTTGGCAGTTTCATATTATGAATATATAAAAATAAGTAAATAAATATGACTAACCGGTTAATGCAGGAAAAAGCGATATAAAGGGAATGGATATTTGTCTAATCAGCCTAAGTCCGGGATATATAAGCTCTTGAAGGTTACATAAAATATTACAGCATATATATTTAATACTGTATATTGTAAGGATAAGAAGAAGAATTAACAGAAATTTTCGCTTTGTAAAGAAACTTTGACGGCTATGTGATTTAACCATAATATCTTTTTCTTCTATTGATTTTAAAGACTCAAAATACAGTTTTCTAAATTCATCTTCATTGATACCTTTATCAGTACACTCATTTTTGAGTTTTTTAATAGAGTGAGCGTAGGCTTTAATAGACTCTCTTTCATTCATTTTATTCATGAAAAATAAAGTAAGCAGGAGATGAATATTACATTTCTTGTTTATTTATAATCATAAAATTTAAACAGGTTTAAAAGTATAAACCAAATAATTTAAAAAATATATGATTCCCCTTTAAGCTATAATAATTCAATTTATAAGAAAGTTGAAACGAAAAACAAACGATACAAAACGTAAACATTAAGCACTTCATCAGATCAACAACACAACATTATGTCCACAAATTATAAAGTTGTATGTACAAGAATTATGTCTGATTATGTCACTTGTCACTTCACTATCAGTCATCTGTCATTTTGACTTTAAATTAAGTTTTTGGCTTGAATGCTTGTCCTTTAATCCATGTCTTCATTTCAATTTTTTTGCGCCCAGAAGCAATGAAAAGCGCTACTAGTGGAGAATGCTCTAAGCATACCACGACAGCTGAGTGGTTATGTGGGGCTCACTGCAAAATCTAAGTGCCTACCCACTAAACACCACCTGTGAGACTGGTATTGGCCTGTATGACCTTTCTGCCGAATCGGAAGCAACCCCCGTTAGGGAAAAGGGGGCGCAGATTTCATTTCGTCCGGGATCTTCATTTTTATAGATTTTCAGTATCAAGTGATAATAATCGTATATAGTACACTGCTTCACAATATGTTGATGCGTCACATTAAGTAGTTTTTGAGAGATATTTGATGGCAACTTGAGCCAGCAGACAGTTGGCGGTAGTATTTCAGACGCGTAAGCACACCTTATCTTGAGATTCACATCACCATCGGAGCACTTGTTTCACTGTTTCCACTAATAGTTTACATGCGCAGACATTTAATACACAAAATCACACCACTTTTACATATCAAAATCCAGTTCAAACTATTAATTTAACAATAATACAAGACAAGCAATCCACCGCCGGCAAAACTTCAACATTTAACTTGAGTTTATTTTACTTGGGGCAATGACTTCGCATACCCGCTTCACAGGAGCAAGGACGGGTTATGTTGGACTCGCACCCACCAAAACCTCGTGGCGTTTCCACTTTCGACGTATATTGGTAGGGCCACGGGAACGCTTTCGCACACGTCGGAGGCAACACTACCACCTCGGCAGCCTCTCTTCGGAAGAGGACTTCTCCCCTTCTTGTCCTTCTTAGGTAAGTCGTAACAGAAACACTTCCTCCACAGCCTCGAACTCTACCTGCGTAACGAAACCTCCCGACTCTGATACGTGGAGACCGTGGGGCCAGGAAGAACAAGCACTCGGAAAAATCAGCTTCCGAGAGTCTATAACCCTCTCAGAAATGAGAGAAAGCCCCAACCGTGGGAAGTACTCTTATGTATGTTTTAATTTGAATTTCTTTTCATATCGCTATTATAACTTTAAAGTCTTTTTCGATGAATACTTTCAGTTTGGTAATAATAACATTATAGTAACAGGCGTATTAATGGGTCTATCATATTAACTTAGTTGTTAAAGTGCCTGCTTAGTACTTTGTCAGACAGATCAAGCATTTGTTCAAAAACTCAACTACTAAAGCACTTTTACTAAATGGTTGTTTCTTTCCGGCCTAAGAGTTTGTCTTGGTTGGTATCATTCTAATCTAGCCGCATAATATCATTGCACTCACTTCTATATGTACTTCTATATGTATGTTCTGTATTTACGGTAAGCGAGGCAGTATTAGGCTAATGAGGAATTTCATTTAATTGTCAGAGGTGAAAACGCATCTGGCATTCTTTATTTGAAATTGGTTACGGGTGTCCATGGGCTGCATTAGTTACTGGATTGTTAGCAAATAATGTTGAGGGATTCCGATAGTATTCAGAAGATCAAATTTGGCGAATAAGACTTTTATCAATCAAAATATTTGTCATATTATATCATTATTTGTTAAAATTAATATCTCTAAAACAAAAAAAAAAAACAAATTAACATATTCTGTCATCGATAATTGTTTTATAGGAGGGTGGCAAACGAGCATGCGGCTCACCTGCGGTAAGTGACTACCGCCGCCCATGAACAACCGCAACACCAGGGGAATTGCAGATGCTTTGCCGGCCTTTTGAAAAGGAGTAGGCTCTTTTCTTGAAGGTCCCTAAGTCGTATCGGTCCGGAAATATAGCTGGTGGTAAGCGATTCCACAAGGCAGTTGTGCGTGGAAGAAAACATCTTTCAAAATCGCACAGTGGTGGACCGCAAATCACCCAGGTGGATGGAGGATGGCACCGCAAGTTTTGTCGCGATGTGCGATCGTGAAATTGAGCGGCTGGAATTAGTCCGAACAATTCCTCGGAGCACTCCCCGTGGTAAATTCGATAAAATACGTAAAGAGATGCAACATCTCTACGCAGTGCCAGTGTATTGAGCCGATCAGAAAGAACTCGGTCGTCGTCGATTCGAACCGCTCTGCGCTGGATGCGGTCAAGTGGAAGAAGCTGGCACTGGGGTGCCCCGGCCCAGAGATGAGAACAGTATTCCATGTGAGGCTGGAATTGCGCTTTGTAAAGTTGCAAGCGATGTGCCGGCATGAAATACTGTCTCGCTCTGCTAAGCACGCCAAGCTTCTCAGAGGCCAGTTTGGCCTTCCCTTCCAAGTGACCACGAAACTGCACACTATTCGATATGTCGACGCCGAGGATTCCGATACTTGCTGAGGCAGCAAGGGGAGTGCCTTGAAACTGAGGAGATACGACAAAGGGGTTCTTTTTAGCGGTAAACGCGCAAACTTGTGTCTTGTTGTTGTGTCTAATGAATGTTACTAGTTTGCAACATATCATTGATACGCAGGAGAAACAGCGTTGGTGATAGCACGCAGCCTTGTGGAACACCAGCGTTGATAGGCTTAAAATGAGAGCATGCAGCGTCTACTACGACCTTCATGCTCCGATCAGCAAGGAAACTGGTGATCCATTTGCACAATTTCTCGGGAAGCCCATAGGAAGGAAACTTCGAAAGGAGCGCTTTGTGCCAGATCCGATTGAAGGCCTTTGCTATGTCCAAACTAACGGCCAATGCCTCCCCCTTGGACTCTACTGCTTCCGCCCATCTATGAGTCAGATAGACCAGAAGAGCACCAGCTGATCGACCCCGACGAAAACCGTACTGGCGGTCACTAATCAGCTGGTGATCCTCAAGGTACCTCATGAGCTGGCAGTTTATAATGGATTCCATTATTTTGGAGAAGAAGGAGGATATGGCGATAGGCCTGTAGTTGGACGGGTCTAAGCGGTCGCCATTTTTAGGGATCGGGTGGACCAAAGCTATCTTCCATGAATTCGGGACTACGCCTTGGGAGTAGTAGTACCGGAAAAGACGTGTTAAAACCGGTGCCAACTCCGGAGCACACGTCTTCAGCACAATGGGAGGTGCAACTCCATCAGGTCCACTTAACTTGCTGACGTCCAGGGAGAAGAGGGCTTTACGAACCGAGCGCTGTGTAAATCCCACATCCGGCATGGAGCACTAACACCGCGGGATGGTTGGCGGTATATTCCCCCCGTCATCTAGAATCGAGTTGGACGCAAAGAGAGAGCATAAAAGATCGGCTTTCTCCTTTGCGGCATGGGCCAGTGAGTCGTCCTCTCTGTGCAGAGATGGAATAGATGGCTGACAGAAGTTCCCTTGGACAGGCTTGGCGAGAGACCATAATGCACGGGTTCCCGAAGGAAGGCAAACTAGCTTCTCGCCAATTCGCCAATTCAAAGTGTGTGTGTGTGTGTGTGTGTGTGTGTGTGTGTGTGTGTGTGTCAGTGCGTACGTGTATACGTGTACTACCTACCCGTGCGGTTAAAGAATGGGATTGAAAAGCTCTATTCACCTCTCGCTCGCGCACTATCGCTATCTATACTCACACCCGTCGGTAAAGACTGCAAAAAAACTACGTTGCGATTTGCGTCTTTCAACGTTCTATAACTTTTGTCTAACTTGTCATTGCAATCAATGATAACAAAATACCATAAATTACAAAAAAATTCAGTCCATTTTCGCTAATTTCTGAACTATGACGCGTATTGAGAGTTATCTTCATTATTATTATTGATTTTGTATGTTAATATTTTGTATAAAATATTATTAATAATGTCCTCCAGAACGAATTTCGGTCACGGCGGCAAGCCTCAACGGAGACTAGCCATCGGCGCAGGACAAGATTATAGTGGCCAAGTATATGCGCAAGCTCAGGTGCACTCTCTATTCCCACGCCCTCATAGTCCGATAGGACGCTAACCCGGCACGACCGGAGAGAGATCAGGCGCAGGACCAACGGCTTTACGTGCTTTCCGAGGTACGGGGGTGAGACACCGCCAGCTTCCTGACTCCGGGCAACTATTGAGAGTTTCTTGATGAAAAAACTCAATAACTGATTTTTAGGCCCGACCCGGGATTCGAACCCGAAACCTCATGATCAGCAGTCGCACTACTACAACCACCAGACCAACGAGACAGTCCAAAATATTTTTATGCTATTGAACATGAGTTACCATTTTTTAAAATTTTTGTTTGTCTGTCTGTCTGAGAATCGGAATGGCTCAACTGATTGTAATAAAACTTCACGACAGTAATACCAGGAGTGATCTAGACTAAATTTTATCCAAAAAATTTAGAGAAGATAAAATTTTGAGACGACGAAATAAATGATTTTATCGTAAGTCTAAATAATGCCACATTAATAAATGCAACCCAGGTGAAGTCGGAGCCGATCGCTAGTTATATTAAAAGTTTATTTTAAAATTAATTGTTGAAATAGTAAACATAGATACTTCTCGGTAAAGTCCCTGAACGAAACATTTAAGTAGTTCCATTTTTGTATTTATGACGTTACGGAATGTGGTTCCTTTTTTAGTCAGTTTGTTATGCTTTACCAAAGAGAATATAACCACTACGTTTAAGAGGCGGGACTTCCATAGTAAAAGTAAATGCTTGAAAGTATGCCAAGCTACTCTACCAACATCAAGTTATGACATTAAGTTTTGACAAACAGTGTTGACAATATTGACGAATTACAATAGTGCTGTAAATGTCAATCCTGGAATAATTTTATCGATATATTGTTTATCGATATTTTTACATAATAAAAGTTTGATCTCTATACTGAATTATTTATGAGAAATACATTTTTTAATGTGGGGATTGAGTAAAAATTCCGATGAGGATAAGGAATCAATGTATTTTACACACAGCAATTTGTAATTATATCTCTACAATTAGGTACAAAAATATGTATAAAGAAAATATATAGTAAAAAACGCACTATTATACTAGTAGTTAATTAAGTAAAAAATAAACGACGGCTCCGCAGCGCAGTGGCTAAGCGTTTGGCTGCGGCATTGCAGGACCGAGGGTTGGTTCCCGCACTGAACAAGTATTGCTATGCTGTAAAATAAATAGTCTACGTCTGGATGCTTGTTTTCAACGTTTGTTTTTTAAGGGTAAAAATATTAGGGTTTTAACACTGATTGGATTAAATTGCTTTTATGTGTAACAAATACTATGTACAAATCGCTAGGCTTCTTCACAAAGGTACCTATGCACATACTATTCGCAGAGATCGTTTACTAATTTTCGCTTCCAAAATGAGTGCTGATTATAGCTAATGTTTGTAGATAAACCTATAAAAAATTATTTATAACCAGGTAATTATAAATAACTTTGAGTTTATTTATATAATCGAATTCTTACCAAAATGTGACTTTAGAGGGATATTATCTTTTGCTACATATAAATGAAACCTAATTAACATACACATAATTTTGGAAGTTTAAATTAAGTCCACTGATGAAATAACAGTTCGTTTTAGTTGGGTTCAAATGCAATATTTTTGGTTTAACATGTGAATCTTTTCAATTGGTGCATGTGCCAGCTATTTCACCTATTGCTTGCATCTGAAAAAATAATATAAATAAAATCACATTTTTATTGAACAAATAGAATGTTAGCAGTCACAATTGACTGTGTAGTTGCTAAGTATAGTTCGTTACGGATTGTCATACCATTGAACTATCAGGTTAAGGAAATAGTGTGTTTGTATTGTGCACACAATCGTACACTATAAAAACCTGTCCTACGTAGATGGCTAGTCCTTTTGGACTTGCGTTAAATATCATATTACTATTAAAGTTGAAATCACCACATACCTTTCATCATCTAAGGGAAATATTGCTACAAATAGCCTTTTCTTGTTATCATTTTTTCCGCTTCTTGCACCATTTAATTGGAAAGTTTTATAATGCATATTTAATTTTTTAACAATTCTGTAAATGAACAACGGCTCCTATAGCAAAATTAAAAGCAATCTTAATAATTAAAATATAGAAATATAATTGTTTGATTTGACATTTGAACCTATTTGATTTGACAATGTCGTTTATAGACATATTACGAAAAGCAGAAAGAAGAGATAACCGTCATTAACCCCTGACCCCTGTAGTACATATAATTTTTACTTTTGAAGTGGCACCAGGCTGTACTTTACCCAAAGAGAATATAATCACTACGTTTAAGAGGCGGGACTTCCTTAGTAAAAGTAAATGTATGAACCGGCGCCAAGCTACTTTACCAACATCAAGACATGACATTTAATTTTAGACATACAGTGCTGACAACATAGGCGAATCGTAATAGTGCTGCAAAGTCTATTCTCGAACAATTTTATCGATATAATTTTGTCGATATATTATCGATATTTCTATATAGTAAAAGTTAGAGCTCGCTACTGAATGATTTACGTGAAATAAAAGTTTTTACATAGGATTGAGTAAAAATTAGTGTCCGACCGAAACAGGATTTTCAACCGAAACCGAAACCGAAACCGAACCTTCGGTCTGGGTGACAGTTTCGGCCGAAACCGAAACCGAAACTTATTTAGACAATGGTATGTATATATGGTATATTTTTATACATATTTAATGAATAACCATTATTGTAATAGTCATGTAGCAATATATTTATTTATTTTAAAGTAAAATCAACAATTTAACGTTAAGAAATACTTTTTTAAGTCAATTTTTTTTGTAGAAAAATCAACACTTTCACCCATAAAACGTTGCTCGCTAATTGAGAACATATTTTATTGTGTTCACAATATTGTTAATATTAATTAATGAGAGCATTAACTTAATATATCCCACTCACACACTTACACACAATACATACACACAACTTAACGAAATCCCAGAAAGTATACAAAACCTGCTCAAAGTTCAAAAACTTTAATAAACTAAGTTTGTATAAAAAGGGTTATTAATTGGGTCACAACTTATTTGCTACCCAGTCTTCATTAACACCAAACATACAATATACTGATAGTATTGGCATTAGGGCGCTGGAGCTCATTTTCAAGATTTGTGCCGACAGATAATTCTTGTAATACGTTTGCAAAACATTGTAGACATATTGGTGCATTTTCATCCATCTAGAACAAAACAATCTTATTTTAATAAACTATCTATATTGCAGAAGTGCATTTTAAACAGTGCAACATGTTTTAACAGGTGAATTGAAAGATAATTAAATCATATTAAGATTTTGCAGCCCTTATGAACTTATGTTGAAATTAATAATTATTAACAGACTACAGATAGAAGCATGTCATTCAAATGCGTTTAATAGCTTAAGGAAACATCTTTCTTTCGTACATACCTGCTTACCGATTCAAAATGTGATTCTACAGAATACAGATGTCTGATATCAACGAAATCAAAATCTCACGTAAATCATTAAGTCCAAAATCAAAAGCAGAGTAAACAAGTAGAGAGTAGAGTTCTGAACTACACAACCAAGCTCGAAATAAATAAAAATATAATTTGACAGAAATGACATTTGACAAATAACTGTGTCTTTTTTACTTTTTAATGACTGGAAGGGCACCATTTTGAAAACTATCAGAAACTTGGGATTGCATTTTTATTTTTTGGAAGCTGTTTATTTTGATTTATTCTCTCATTTTATTTTTAACAAAATCCCTGAATTTTCCTCTTTTTTACGGTATATTGTATATAGACTGGGCCAGAAATGGACCGTCTCCTAAGTGTGTT